AGAATGATGGACTACATATTTAAGAAAGGCTTTAAAGACGATTACCTTTGTCAAAATGTTCGTGCCTTTCTGAATGTGCTCAAAAAAACAAAGCTTTTAGCAAAAAGCAAAAAGTCGAACCGAGATTTTTCTCGATAATTATTAAATTGCATACTACGTGACGTGATAGTAAGTAAATGAATAGTTTAGGTTACCAAATTTATCTAGTGAAAAAAAATCAAAAATTAGAAAAATTTTAGTTGCGATTTTGGTGGAAAATTTGCCATTTTCTATTGAAAAAAAAACAATATTTTCGGACTATGTGTGAACGCTATCTTTTCACGTTTAGGAGCAACAAAATGGAATTATAAACACTTCCTGTATTTATATACGAAAAACTACATTAGAAAGTAGATCGTTAGAAAAATGGCTGTCCCCTGATAATGCGGCAAAACCCTTTGAAATTCAATGTTGCGGTTAAAAAACAATTGGTCGGCGATTGTTCTCCGTCATTAGTACGTCATTAAAATGTCTTTGAAACGATTTATCTACACGATCAGCCATAAAAACGAATAAATACATGAAGGAGACATAGAGAGACACAGGGAGAGAGAGACAGAGAGAGACAGAGAGAGAGAAGAAATAGTCTCGTCATACGGGCTAGCTGGGAGGATTGATCACAAATCAATATCGACAATAGAAAAGAAGGGGGCGTGGCTAGGGGGCCGAGTAGATACGGTATCGATTCATGGTGGTGTACGGTAGCCATTTAGGCGGGAGAGGATGACGAGACGGCTGTCGAGGCGGCCGAATTCTCGTCGTCGTTGCTCGGCTTCTTCTAGAAGTACGAATATTTCCAAAAAAGGCTTTACGAAATTTTTTGTGATTTTTCTTATTTAGTTTTTCGCTCCAGGTCGTCTCAGTATCAAATATAGGATTTTTATTATGGTTTTAGTAAGTTTTAACGGCTTATTTGCATTCTGTCGAAATATCCTGTTGTCGAAAAAGCTTTTTTTCGGAATTTCAATGCTTTTTCACAAAATTAAATTTCGAAAAGATTAAATTTAGACAAATTCATTTTCGACAAACTGATCGCAAATTAGTTTGAGCCATATTAAAAACAAAAAAACCATTAAAAATATTTAAAAAAAGTTTAAAATTTCCGATTTTCGTCGAAAAACCAATTTTTAGACCTAAAATTAATTATTTCTGTCAAAATTGATGAAGTTTTATGCTCAAAAATAGTTAAAAATCGCAAAAGAATTCATCTGCTATTTATATAAAAAAAATCTAAATTTCGATTAATCACGAAAAGGTTGCTTGAATCTCGAAAATCCGCATTTTTCGGCCGTAAAATTGAGGCTTTTTATGTGTTTTTAAAAAGCAGACTTTAGCCCAAAGTGCAGCTCCAAAAATTACCTCGCCCGAACCCGCGCCGCCACCACCGCCTTCGGTTGGCATATCACCGGGGGCACTTTCACCAGGATTGCCCCGGTCACATCGGAAGATGAACACCGCCGCGCACATCATCAACAAGAAACCGCCGACGATGGCGCTGTGGATGTACAGCACCATCATTGCCAGGCTGCAAAGCGAGATTACCAAAGATTCGCGCGGTCTGGCTTACCCAAACGAATACTCCTCCTCCGAGGCAGGGACATCCGTTACACCGATCCTGTAACAGCAAGTTGTAGAACTCAACTACGATCCGCTACTCATTCCGACCAGACGCGGGCTCCTGGCGGAGTTTACGTTCGATGCCTGCCGACTTCCGGTGGGTTAGAGAGCGTAGAGCGATATTAGGTAGCTGAAAGAATGGCTTAAGTGCAGTTTACCCTCCCCCCAAGCCGGCCTCCACCTACCGTATCTCGGCTCCCTGTTCATCTAAAGGTGTATAAAGTATACCAAAATGTTCGCCTTGTTCTGGCGAGTATTTTGGTATACTTTACACACCTGTAGATAAACAAGGAGCCGAGATACGGTAGGTGGGGGTCGGCTGGAGGGAGAGGTAAACTGCACTCTAACCCGCACCAAAACCAAGATATGAAGCTTACCAATCCGCCTCCACCCTCCGAACTGAAGAGATGAACACCGGAAATGAGGAGCAGCAAAGTGAAGGCGATCAGGTGACGCTTCATCGGGCCGGATGACGGGATGAAGCTGGGGTTAAATGTCGAGTAAATGCACGAAGATGCATTTAGGAAAATTGTTGATGCAAATTACACGAAGGCCCTGGGCTTCAGTCAACATTAATTTCGACAAAAAATACTTGATCTCAGAAAAAGTAACACGCTACCGTATGCGCCTTTTTCTGGCGTTTTTAACGCTACAAAAAATATTCCGATCCGTTATCTCACGTTTTGGTATGAACGTTGAACTCCTGACTACCATTTGGCAGGCAAACATCCAACGTATCTCGGCTATCCCTTAGGAAACCGGAGCGTCAGGTATACCAAAATACTCGCCGGAGCAAGACGAACATTTTGGTATACTTTATACACCTGTAGACAAACGGATACACAAATAAAAAAGTAAAGATACAAAAGTTGGGGCTGCCCACCAGGTGCCCCCAGCCGATCCCCACCTACCGTATCTCCGCTGCCTGTTCATCTACAGGTATGTAAAGTATACCAAAATACTCGCCAGGTCAAGACGCACATTTTGGTATACATTATGCGCCTGTAGACAAACGGAGAGCTGAGATTAACTGTTAGAGGCTGAACTCCAGACTACTCACAGCCAACCCTCGCTTTTTGAGTCTCGGCCACCCATGATCCTAGCGAGCTGTAAAGTATGCCAAAATACTCCTCAGACGAAGACGAACGTTTTGGTATACTTTACACCCCTGTACGATAAAGGGGAGCCAAGATACAGAGTTGGGGGCCAGCTGGGAGGGCCATCTGGAGCCTGACCGATGTAATATTCAACGTGCACCCTGTACTTTATTCCACCACACGCGAGCATCAGCTAAATGTGAAACCAGTATACAAAAAAACGGGTCGTGTAATGAATTGGTAGTTTTTGGGAGGGTAGTGGGCATCGGGGGCTAGTGCTGACGTGGGCGCTTCAGGCTGCGCGCGGCCGGGCGTTTCCGCTCCTCCGAGTTGCTCTGGAAAACCAGCAGGTATTCCAGAAGTACGCCGAAAACCCCACTGCGGCTCACTGACCCGTGATTTCCCCCTCACTTCCACGAAACCTCACTTTTAAAGACCCACCGCCGAGCTCCGGGAGCGACTGGCCGATACGTTGGAGGTGGAGGAGTCTCGGCGCGTGACGGATTGGCGATGAGGAGCGGCCGGTTTGTTCATTTGGTAGAGACGGGCGGCAGCGGCGGCTACGAGCACCAAGAGACCGCCCAGACACGCGTGCCCCACCAGGAGCACCAGGAACAGGTCGCTGGAAAAGAAAGTTATTGGACAGAGAGCGGCAGAGAGAGGCAGAGAGAGAGCGATAGATAGAGAGAGAGAGAACGAGAGAGAACGAGAGAGAGAACGAGAGAGAGAACGAGAGAGAGAAAGAGAGAGAGAGAGACCGAGAGAGAGAGAGAATACTTTTTGGTTGGTCCCTCCTCGTCCTCGGCGTCGTCTTTAGCTTCTCCCCCAGTAGCCCGAACATGTGCGGTTGCCTCAGGAATCTGATGGTGAAGTACAAGGTGTCCCAAAAAACCCTCTACATATGGTCGTCCTCTATCCGATCGCTACCGAATTTTTACAAGCGATGGAGACCGATAAAAACTACGTGCATCCGAATTTTCTAGGCAAAATATTGTTACACAAGAAAACTATCGTTAAAAATTCTTTTTTGGAAAAGTTGGTACTCGTTTTTACGCTGTTTTCGCAATTCTCATCTCGATCGGGTGGAAGATGGCCAAATGCCGGATGTGTGGCTTTTTGGTACCGCCCGTTTTGGTACCTTGCTTGAAGCAGCCGTAGTCGTGGTGGTCGATAGAGGAGTGGTAGAAGCAGTGGTGTTTGCGGTGGTAGAGGAAGCTTTAGGGGTTCTTGTGGCCTTTGTAGTAGCTTTCGTAGCTTTGGTCGTTGGCTTTGAAGTCGTCGTTGCCTTTGGAGTTGTAGTTGTCTTTGGAGTCGTCGTTGTCTTTTGCGTTGTCGTTGTCGTTGGAGTTGTCGTGGTCTCGGGAGTCGTCGTTGTCGTGGTGGTCGCGACCTACTTTTTCAAATTTCCAAAAATTCGGGTCCACCCACCCTGGTAAACTGGTGATAGGCCCCACACAATCGACCTGGTTCCCCGGCGTCCGTGTTTGGGTCCATGATACCCGGATAGCCGCGAGTGAGTTCATCACTGACTGAAAAGGATCGTTTTGTAGCTTTTGTATTTATGCTATCCGGTTGGAAGGTATACCAAAATACTCGCCACACCAAGACGAACATTTTGGTATACTTTATAGGTCCGTAGAACAACGGTGAGCAAAGCTACAGTAGGTTGGACTCTGCTGGGCAAGAGGCAAACCCTAAAGCCGAGGGTACTGCCTTCTAACCGGTCGAGTTCTGAAACTTACTTTTGGTTAGGGCCGGTCCAGCGTAGTGTCCGATTCCCCTCGACTCCTCTGTTCCGTTGTAATTTTCTAGAAAGTGTCGTCATGAAGCTACATGCGCCAGCGGCGTCCCACCACAAGTGCACTCTTGTTTGGTGGCAAACCACCGTCGCCACACGTCCTTGTAGCAGCCGAGGGTGACGGCAAAATGTCGCGGTGAGCTGTTCCAATCCCACCATTGTTTGCAGAACGAGTAGCCGGGCTTTGCGCAACCTGAAGTGGAGATTTGGTATTTGCCAACATGTGAAACATGTATTTTTCGCTATAGTAACGTCAAAATTTGGAAAATTTTGGTCGGATGTGTATCAGGCAGGTGAAGGCGCCACGGCGCGGCTTCTCGGTCCTTAGAAATTTTTCCGGGTTTTCAATAGCATAAAACTATAGTTTAAATATAACAACTATCTAAAAACTAAAAGCTCGAAATTTGTCAAAAAATGGCCATTGTGGTTGAAAAATCGATCGTGAGACTCCAGATACCCCCCCCCCCCCACAGCCGGCATCCAACTTTTGTATCACGGCTCCTTGTTCATCTACACGTGTGTACAAAGTAACCAAACGTTCGTCTTGCTGTGGCGAGTATTTTGGTATACTTTACACACCTGTAGATGAACAGGGAGCCGAGATACTGTAGGTGGGGGTCGGCTGGAGGGGGGCATCTGGAGTTCAGCCAAAACGATATTTTTTGTATGTTTCAAAAAAAAACTTGTAAAAAGTAAAAGGTTGGTAAAAAAGTGCAAAGCAAATACTATGCAAAGAATAAAAGGCAAGGTAAAAGGCTTCTAAACCCTTCCGCTTTTATATTTAAAAAATTGGATCCAAACCGGAAACAAGCTGCTCTTCAGCCTAATGACTCACTGTAGACGATTTTGATCAGCGTGCCATCGGGTTGGGTGAACATCTCGTAGAAGGCCACCGAGAACGTTTCGTACGGGCGTGTCGCGGGCAACACTGAGCATCCGCTTTCCGGGTTGTAAACCGTCCCAGCCACATCGCACATCACGGTCTGGACAATCGGGTTCTGGACTGTTAGGGGGGATCAAATTTTTGCCTGTGCTTCTCTATGTGCCTATGACAAAATGTAAACAATTTCTCTAGCATTGGACATGGTTCTTAGAGAAAAAACGTTACAAAAATAATAAAAAGTTTCGAAAATGTTTGACTTTTTGGTTAAAAAATTCCCAATTTTCAAAATTTTTTAACTTCCTGACTATCAAAAACTGCTAAGAACACTATAATGTTACATTATATAACAAAAATAGTTTCCCTGCTAAACCCCGCCGCCGCCCCCCGCTAACGGTCCAGAACCTGGCGGTCGAAATTAACGGAATCCACCCCACTTTCGGCAGATTGTGATCTGCCTTCGACCATCCAACGTCCGCCCCGCATTCTTCCTGAAAATGGCATATCGGCCTTTCGAGAATGCACCAACAGGCCCGTCCAGATACTTGGCGAACCTGTCGACCAAGTCGGGGTGTGCTGAAAATACAGTATCTTCTGGGTCTGGACTGTTAGCGGGGGGGGGGGCACGCCCATCTTGGGGGTCTATTCGGAGATGACCCCCGCTAACGTACCAGAACCAAATTTATACATCTTACATACCTTCCATTGCGACGCGTGCACTGGGATCATGCATTTCTGAAAATTCGCAACGTTCTGACGAAAAAGTAGCCGTGACTCTACCACATGTGCAATTGGTTGGGTTCTTGACATCGGTATCCGCGTAGCACCCAGCTGGCCAATCTTGATTCAGATAGTTTGCTTGAGCTGTACAAAACGTCTGTCCGTCCTCGCAAGCTATAAACGATGATCAGTCCACGGTTATAGGTCAGAACACGTTTGGCAGTAAAAGTTTATTCCATCACGAACCATAGTAGACCCGTGTCTCGCCAATGTCTTCGTAGAAGAAGTACGCCCGCGAATCGGTGTCCGGTTCGGTGTGGAGTGTAGTGCAAGCTGCATCGTTAGGCCAGTCAAACTGGCCGTTCACCGGGCATCGCACAAACTGAAAGCAACCCCGTCAAAATCCGTGCAACTGCAGCTTGTACTCCGCTTTTGTATCTCAGCTACCCGTTTGTCTACTGGTGTGTAACGCAAACCAAAATGTTCGTCTTGGTTTGAGGAGTATTTTGGCATGCTATACAATACAATAGGATAAAGGGGGCCCGAGATACAGTAAGCGGGGATCGGCTGGGGGGCACCTGGAGTTCAGGCCCAACGTTTGTATCTCGGCTCCCTGTTCAGCTACAGGTATGTAAAGTATACCAAAATGTTCGTCTTTATCTGGAGAGTATTTTGGTGTAATTTACAACCCTGTATGGTAAAGGGGAGCCGGGATACAGTAAGCGAGGGCCGGCTGAGTCGGTTTGGCCGTATTTCGTTCATGACTTTCAAGAAGTTTCGACTGGATTCCTCAACTCACCTTCTCGACGCCAAAGCTTGTAGCAAACATTGAGGCGAAGAGAATTAGCAGGGCAGGCGACTCGTGGGGATGGAGCTTCATCGGGCCGTTGGAGCTCACGAGAAGGAAATTAGGCTCAAGCTCGCGTTCAGGGAAACCAAAGATAGCTGATATGCGCCGGAAGTCGTGTATTCAAAGTAATTCCAGCGTCATTAAATCTGGAATTGAGCATCAGTGATTTGAATATTGCATGGAATTCATCATTCTCGAGTAGATCTCTCAGAGCTTCCAGTGTCTGAAGGCCGTCCGGTCGGATGAAGCCTCGTCTCGTCCAGACGTTTCTGCTCCTCCTCGCGATTTTCCATCTTGGCAGTGGCGAAAAATATGTGGTAAGCGCTTTATGAGTTAAATTGAAGCTAAAGTTAAATAACGGAATACTGCAAGAGCAGCTGAGATACTCCATCGAAACATTTTTCGTTTAGCGCTGCCCGGTCAGCGTCCGATCATTTACCGGCGACAATCGGGGCTGCACCCAACTCGCCGGCGTTCCGGAATCTTTTTCTGATGATCGCTACTTTTTCTACGAACGGTTTCCCGGTGACGGCAAGGATGGAGATGTTTATGAATATTACGGTGATTTTTTGTACCGCTTTTTCACCAAGACACCCTTTGCTAAAAACTGTCGTTTGTTTCGAGGGACTACGGCTTTCCCGCCCCAATTTTTTCCGCTACTTTCCTGAGGAGTGTCCGATTTGGGGCTTAAATGCGGTTTACCCACCCCCCCCCCAGCCGGCACCCACCTACCATATCTCGGCTCCCTGTTCCTGTTCATCTACCCATGTGTAAAGTATACCAAAATGTTCCTCTTCGTCTGGCGAGTATTTTGGTATATTTTACACACCTGTAGATGAACAGGGAGCCGAGATACGGTAGGCGGGGGTCGGCTGGGGGGACTGCACTCTCACCCATTTTTCTAGGCTGCGATGTGGGCATGACTTTTTGTGGCCACATCCAAAACGACGATCGGGATTGGTTGCCGGGTTGCTACCCTTCTGAAGTGGCTTTTCACAAGGCGGAAACGTGCAATTGTATTGGGGCGGCCTTTGGGGACAAAGACTCCTGGCCGACAGTCACCATGGAAGGTATCACATCCATCTGAACCGCCACTTGCAACTCCTAAACTATAGCCAGCGTCCATGTGCTCGACTTGTACGACAAACACGCAAGGGACCAGGTGGGTTTCGCTTTTTGCGGTACTGGACTGTTAGCGGGGGTCTTCCCTCTTAACCGTTGTATCTCTGCTCCCCGGTGTGCTACAGAGCTGTGACGTATACCAAAATACTCGCCAGACGAAGACAAACATTTTGGTATACTTTATATACCTGTAGATGAACAGGGAGCCGAGATACAAATAGCTCAGGAGTAGGATCTGGAATGTTAGCGGCGGGTGGATGGTTCTAGCATGAGGAAAAGTTTTTCGGGCGATACCTACTTGCTAATACTATATACAGTTTTTCTAGTGTTTTTAGTTATCAAAATATTTTTAAAATTCGAAAATTCTACTTTTTAGGCGATTTTTCACCCATTATAATTTCGCAACATAAAACTATGTAAAATTCTATAAAAATGGGGCTAAATTTCACTTTACGGTATGGTCCCAAAATGTCGATTTTTCAACTGAAATCGATCCAGCTCGATGAGTTTGTGCGTTTCCAGTTGAAAAAACGATTGGGAAACGCTTCTGGACAAAGTTATTAGCTTTTGAAAATTGACCAAAATATTGGACTTTTTAAAGGGGATTAGCTGAATACCCAATTTAAGCCTAAAAATAAGGCTTCGTGCCACCGGGGCCCTAGTCGCTTCGGATGGGTGCGAGCTCGTACAGGGTTTCGAAATCGGGGCGCCCGAGCAGCGCGCAGCGCCCAGGCGCCCCGATTTCGGAAGAGTGGAGCGGCAGCCCATCCGAAGCGACGGCCCGCCTTGCCTGACAATGTTGGAGGCCACAACTAACTGTTATTTATCTATTCTATGCTTAAAATACTAGTTTTAAAAATTCTAAATGCTTTTAGATAAGTACATAAGCGCTGGCAGACAGCGCACGCGTTAGAATGTGGGGATAGGAGTGTTGCGTAGCCTACAGTCCTTAGCAAAAATATCTTTGAAACGTATAACTTTCTTATTTTAAATTTCCCAATTGTTTTTTCAACTGAAAACGCTTTATCTCATCGAGCTTTATCGTTTCCTGTTCAACAATCGAGCTTTTGTTCACATACCGTAAAGTGAACTAGCGATTTTCAAAAGCTAATAACTTTGTCCAGAAGCGTTTCCCAATCGTTTTTTTCAACTGGAAACGCACAAACTCATCGAGCTGGATCGATTCCAGTTGAAAAATCGACATTTTGGGACCATACCGTAAAGTGAAATTTTCCCAAAAATGGTTTATATTTCGCTATGAAGCCGTACGCAATCAGTGGGGAAAAATTTGGTTTCCGCCTGAATCCTCACCCCCCCCCCCGCTAACAGTCCAGTCCCTTTACAGAAAGGGTGCGGCGGGACGGTGGGGTGGCCGCGAGTGTCCGAAGATCTTCCCCAGGTAGCCCCGCTTATTTTTTTGTTACATCACATTTTTTGTGTTTTTATCTTATTCGCTGCTCTTAAAGTATAGTTTTTTTTTACTACCTACAACATCTTCTGCTCAGATTGTGATGTGCGATGTGACGGGCCCGGTGTATACCTCGAACACGGGATGTCGCATGCTGTCATCACGGCCGTACGAAGCATACGCGGTCGCCTTCTACGAGATGTTACCACTAGCGTCTGGGGGCAAAATGAAAGTCATCTACAGTAAGTGTGGATGCCATTTCTATTAGCGGGAGGGGGGAACCAATCAACCAAATCAAGGCTACTAAAAACTATAAAAATACATAATAAATCACCAACAGCTAGGTGGAAAAACAAGTGGTGGTCCCCCCGCTAACAGTCCAGTACCCATCACATATTATTAACAGGCAGCGAGAGAGAGCGAGAGAGAGCGGGGGGGGGAGGTGGGAGGAGGGGAGGGGGAGGAGAGGAAGATGAAGAGAGAGGGAGAGGGGAGAGGAGAGAGAGAGAGAGAGAGAGAGAGAGAGAGAGAGAGAGAGAGAGACCGAAAGAGTAGAGACAAAGAGAGAAACAAAACAAAAAAGATAATGTCCCCCAAAAATCCCAAAATCCCCCCGTTAACAGCCCAGGTACCCAAAAAATTGCAGTGTGCCCAAAGAAGGGCCAGATGTTCTGCAAGCAATGGTGGAACAACGGCATATCCAACATCGAGATCGGCTGCTATGAGGGCGTTTGGAGGAGATGGTATCGCGGGAAGAACAAGGAGTGTACTTGTGGTGGGCCCCCAATTATTGGCTGCGAGGTTCCCCTGATTTTATAGAAACTCCGGGCACGGGACACGGCCAGTACGAGGGCAAGCTGAAACATGAGGACAAGGGTGGGCTATTTTTGCTTGTATCTCAGCTCCCTGTTCGTCCACCGGAGTGTAAAGTACACCAAAATGTTCGTCTTGGTCTGGCGAGTATTTTGGTATATTTTACAACCCTGTATAAAGGGGAGCCAAGATCGAAAAGTCAAACGGTCTCTCTAATCTGCAAGATTCTTTGGAAACGTTCATTTTGCACCTTTTTTGGCCCATCCAAATTTACGAAAATTTTTATTATTTTTTTACGAGTTTTTCTGAATTTTTACACTTTTTTATAAACTTTTTATATATCAAAAATTGTGTAAAATTCGATAAAATGGTTTATATTTCGCTAAAACTTCGAAATGCCTTCACTTTTTGGTCAGAAATGTATGAAAGATGGCGAAAACACGTCGGCATTTTTTCAATTGTTAAGAATATTTGAAACATTTTTATGTAATATGGGCAAACGGCACGATTTTTAGTGAGTGCCGCGATCCGAGAATCATTTCCGGAGCTGCTGAGCCCGGATGGGCCTGTGCCGGCAGTGGGAGAGCCGGGTCGGCTCTGTGGTGCTCATCAGCAGTTTAAGAGGGTGGCTGCGATTTTTCGATACCTTTAATTCCATACCGGTTCTTTCGAAATTTACGATTTTGCTGCAGTAATCTAAAACGTTTTCATAATGTTTTTAGCAGGATAAAACTTTATTTTAACTAAAAAAAACTAAGAAAAACCTGGAAAAATTTTTGCAGAAGTCGAAATTTTGGTAACAAACAGTCGTTTTTGGTCGAAAATCAATTATTTCTGTCCTTTAATAAAAATTTGTAAACTTTTTACGTTTAGAAATAGAATAAAAGACACTTTTAGAAATACTTCCGCTATTTAAATTAAAAAACGGCTCGTAAAAAATGTTCTCTCCCCCCCCCCATAATGGGAAGTACCTCGATACCCTTTTCAGGTACCTCCAAAGACGACGCCTCCACCCACGACCACCACCACGAGGAAGACGACTACCACCACCACGACGAAGGCAACGACCACTACCACGAAGGCAACGACTACCAGTACCACGAAGAAGCCGACCACAACCACCACGACCACAAAGGCCACGACCACCACCGCCAGCACGACAAAGCCAACTACGAAGCCAACGCTTCCGACGACTCCAAGCACGACGGCCTCATCTACCGCGCCTACAACACAGTCTACCGCGTGTACTACACGGGAGTCTACAACAACAACTACCGAGACGTCTACCACGCCTACCACAGCAGAGTCCACGCCTCCGTCAAGCTCTGATACAGTGAGCACGAGTGAAACGGAAAAACTTCCCGCGAGTGCGACTCCGCCGCAAGTGAGCACGGCCAGTGCGTCAGGTGAAGAAGAGGAGGATGGGTAGGGGGTTTAGAGCTGAAAAAATTTTTTATTTTTAGGAGTTTGGTGCCAACAATCATCGGCCACGCCGTCGTCATCACCATCGAGATCGGGATCCTTTGTGTTGGGCTGTGGTTGCTCAAGTCGGCACCTGCTGATGATCCGGATGCGGTGACCCCGGATAATGGAGAGGAGGCAACGGAGACACCGGAAGCGGATGAGGTACGGTTAGAGAGAGAGAGAGAGAGAGAGAGAACAAGGGAGAGAGAAAGAGAGACAGAGAGAGACAGAGAGTGAGAAGACCCCGCTCGTTAAAAGAGAAGAACCAAATTCCGTACACTCTCAACCAGCTAACCAATTTTTCAGGAAGGCCGCGACACGACCACCACCCCGTCGCCGAACGCTTGAACGTCGATGCTACGACCCGAATTCTACGCTCGAACAAGCTAACCAATAATGCTCAATTGTGTATATATTCTCTGGCCAACGATTTGCGGAATAAATCTCTCGAATTGATGCTCTCTCTCTCTCTCGCTCTCTCTCTCGCTCTCACTCTTTGTTTGTGTCTCCGTTTCTGGCTGGTTTTGTTTTTCTTCGGTTGGTCTCTCCCTCTCTCTTTCTGCTCTCTCTCTTTCTCTCGCTCTCTCTCTCCCTCTTCTTCTTCTTCTCCTTCATGTGTTCAAAATACAAGCCACAAAGTATTAATAAATTTATACGCAAAAACATAGCATAAATTATCGTAGAAATCACTGAAAGATGGGTGGGGTGCGGAGAGAGAGCGAGAGAGCATGAAATAGAGAGAGTGAGAGAGCGAGGGAGAGAGAGAGAGAGAGGAGAGAGCAGTAGAGGGATGTACATAGATGTTGTGTTTAGTGCTCTAGGTACAGATCTTTGGTGGACACAGCCGCTACGTTACGCTATGACATTGGCATCGTCGGTTGAGCCGTCTTCCCTCCAAATAGCAGAGCGGCCACGTTGGCGGCATCTGGTAGAGCATCATCGGGTCGGGTGACGCCGTGGATTTGTTGTTGGGCGAAGACCTGGAAAGAGAGGAAGATGAGAGAGAGAGAGAGGGAGAGGGGTGAGAGAGGAAAGAGGGGGGGGGAGAGGAGAGAGAGAGAGAGAGAGTGAGAGAAAGCGAGAGAAGGAGAGAAAATAAACTCACCAGCATCTTGAACAGCACTTCTATCTTCGGGCGTGACGGCTTGTTGAGGGCGCCCAACACCGCGGCGTTCACCGCATTTGACACCTGCAAAATTTGCATAATTTTGATTTACATAAATTTGCATAAAGCTTGATATCCCGCACCGAATAACTGAGCTTCTACTGACTTGGAGCTTCTACCGACTTTTCACTCTCATTTTCGACGACTGCAGCGCCGGTTTTGGGTCAGTTTTTTGCTTTTTGAAAAGTCTTTTATACTTTTAAACTTTATACTTTAATTTTAAACTTTTTTGTTACTTTATTTGTATTTGTTTTGTTTTTTATTTTATTATACGGGATTGCATATTTTTTAATCAGAATTGATCAAAAAAATAATCTCTTTGAATTTACAAAAATTTTATTCGAATGTTTCTATGGTTTTTCTTTAATGTCATAAATTTTTATAACCTGTTCAATAGAAAAATAGAACATGTAAATAGTTTATAAAAAAGTAAAAAATTCAAATTAATCAAATTATCCCATTTTTCCGCAGCACTACTATGTCGTGCTGTGCGCGGAAGCGGGAGCCAACCGTCTCGCGGCGTGTGCCCCCGAAAAGCGATTATACGGTACATTACTATTGACGTATCCCCCGCAAATGCACAAGCTCCGAAAAACCTCAAAATTCTAGGTGCGATGGGTGGCCCGTTGGGTGAATCGGGACTACATCACGCTCCGCTGCACGCCCCACTCCGAGAACTCGACTCGCACCATTACGGTAGTTTTTTCATCGGATTACGGTGTTTGTGGTGCGTTTTAGGTGGCCGGACGGCTGCACGAGGATCTGGTGTACCCCTACGTGTTGACCCAGTCGAAGCACATCTGCCGTGGCGAAGACTTTTTTGGCGGAAAGTGGAAGCCGAGTGGGTTTCTCTCTCTCTCTCTCTCTCTCTCTCTCTCTCTCTCTCTCTCTCTCTCTCCCTTCTCTCTCTCTCTCTATCTCACTCTCTCTCTCGCTTTCCCTCTCTCTCGCTCTCTTTCACTCTCCAACTCACTCCCTTTAGTGTTCACGGACAGTGACACCAAATCGAAAGAATCGAAGGAGACGACCACCCCCGCCGCCTCCCCCGCCAAGGCCAAGCCGTCCAGCACCCAGCCAACCGCCGACAGCAAGGAGTACGACCCCGGATTTTGAAAAACACCTCCTGATTTCTAGAAAAACGACCCCGGTGAGCCCTGGCCCGACCAAGACGAGGACGGCCGGCGGGAAGTCGATGATTGCGTGGGTTTTGAGGTCGATTCTCTTATGGTAGAACCTTTAGCAGCGTGGTCAAGCCGTCCGCCCAGAAGCCCGCCGTCGCGGGGCCCAAGATCCATTTCAAGGTCAGAACGGCGATTTCCTAAGGGATATCTGCTAGCTTGCCTCGATGATCCGGTACTGGGCTCTTTGAGGGGGGGGGGGGTAAAAATTACGTTTAGCAGGCAAAATTCAGCGCACCCCCGCTAACAGTCCAGTACTGATTTCCCCAAAAATCCCTGCTGTCCTTATCCCTTTAAAACAGACACTTTTAGGTGTTCGATCTGCTCCACACCCACTACGAGACACTCCCAACTACCAATGATGCCCCGGGACCCAGGCAGGAAGCTGTCACGAAACGCCTTGAAGTTCCCCACTCGGTGGAGGAGGACAGTCTGAAGACGTCGCTCAGTGATGATGCTTGGGTACGGTAGACGAGCATGAGCTTAGGCTTGGCTTAGGCTTGGCTTAGGCTTGGCTTAGGCTTGGCTTAGGCTTGGCTTAGGCTTGGCTTAGGCTTGGCTTAGGCTTGGCTTAGGCTTGGCTTAGGCTTGGCTTAGGCTTGGCTTAGGCTTGGCTTAGGCTTGGCAGGCTTGGCTTAGGCTTGGCTTAGGCTTGGCTTAGGCTTGGCTTAGGCTTGGCTTAGGCTTGGCTTAGGCTTGGCTTAGGCTTGGCTTAGGCTTGGCTTAGGCTTGGCTTAGGTTCTTAAGCTTGGCTTAGGGCTTGGCTTAGGCTTGGCTTAGGCTTGGCTTAGGCTTGGCTTAGGCTTGGCTAGGCTTGGCTTAGGCTTGGCTTAGGCTTGACTTGCTTAGCTTGGCTGTTGGCTTAGTTTGGTTAGGTCATTTAGGCTTGGTTGTATTTGGCTTAGGTTAGCTTAGGCTTGGCTTAGGCTTGGCTTCTTAGGCTTGGCTTAGCTTGGCAGGCTGGGGGTTAGGCGGCTTAGGCTTGGCAGGCGGCAGGCTTGGCCTTGGAGCGCAGGCTTGGCTTAGGCTTGGCTTAGGCTTGGCTTAGGCTTGGCTTAGGCTTGGTCTCCCCTAAAATCTTTCCAAAATCGAAATTTGAAGCAATCTACGAAGTGCCCTGGCCGCCGCCACCAGAAGAAAAAGAAGAAGAAGAAGGTTTGTGCGGAGCTTTCGCATTATCGGGGGGGTCTTTCGACTTTAAATAGAATTAAATTCTAATAAAAACATGCTTAAAATATTAGAGAAACTTCTAAAATAAAAATCCGATTTAGGAGCCGAAATCGGTGTGCCTGTCGCTGACCGAGTCGGGCCAGCCGGGCGCCGGCGCGAAAAGACAGACCAAGAAGAAGAAGGGCACCACCTTGTCCAAGCCCACCCCCGACCTGCTCACCGCCTGCGACGACGACGTCAGCAACAAGTCCAGGAAGAGTGGGTTATTCCTTTTATGGCTTTAATTTGCCCGATTGAAGCATCGAGTTTTGAAATTCAGAGCGCGCCGGCGACCGGACCAAGTGCGACCCCAGTGTGAAGGGCAACAAGTCGGGAAAGACGAAGAAAAAGAGTGAGTTCTGGGAGAGAGAGAGAACGAGAGAGAGAGAGAGAGAGAGAACGTGAGAGAGAGAACGTGAGAGAGAGAGAGAGAGAACGTGAGAGAGAGAGAGAGAGAGAGAGAGAGAGAGAGAGAGAGAGAAGGGGAGGGGGGGGGAGAGAGGGAGGGAGAGAAAGAGTGGGGGAGAAAGGGGAGAGAGAGGGGAAGGGGGGGAGAGAAGGGGGGGGAAGAGAGAGAATGAGAGAGAGGGAGGGAGAGAATGAGAGAGAGAGGGAGGGAGAGAGAGTGAGAGATTTCTGGTCTTTTTCAGGGACTAATCGATTAATTTTTCCCTTTCTAGAGAAGGATCAGACGCTGGCCACCGCCGCTGATTCGGAAAAGTCGCGGAAGAAGAGTGAGATAATTTTTTAAACCGTTTTTACACTTAAATTAAAAAGTAATTTAAGTATCAAGATTACCTAAAAATAAAATGTTGAATTGAACTGGATACAAAATAAAAACTTTAAGTGTTTCAAAATCCGGTTATCCTATTTTTTGTTTTAGAGAAACCCGGTCTCCGCGGCATGCTGCACATGAAGCCGAACGCTTCGAAAATTAAGGTATTACTTGGATTTTTGGCTTCAATGCTCCTTGAAACTCGCCAAAACCGGATTTTGTTAAAAATTAGCATAACAAAAATGCAAATTTCAGGAGGTCACCTGCGAGGAGGCGCCGAAGACGCTCAAGGAGGGTGAGTGATCGGATAACGGAAATAATTTTGTTATCTTTGTTGTTGAGCCTTACACATTTTTGAAACATATTAATTTTTAAGGTTGAGATCGATATTTTCCGAATTTATTCTTTATTTAGGCGCGATTTTTAACTTAAAAACCGGAGAAACGCAATGAAAAGTCAGATATTAAGAGGCTTACGATTTCATTTAGACTTTTGGCAAAAAAATAGTGTTTCAAAAAAATATCATTTTCAATTGTGCAATTCAAATTTACTTGTCGTTGACTTTTAAATACAAGCTAAAAATATATTAATTCTTTTAAATTCTATTTACTCTAAATTAAATTTACCTATGTATTTGATTTTAAACTTGGTTGCTTTTAAATTCACCATTTTTTAGAGCTGCTGACCGCGGCGGCGCTGCCTTCGTGAGGCGTCGCGCTCCGCTCCCGACCGAGACAACAAGCTACATTCCTTCCGACGACTCGATTTAAGCAATTATCATTATTATTTTCTTGGACAAGTGGTTGTAATAAACGGTTAAAAATGGGTCTTATGTTGTGTTCAATAAATGGTTGAAAATTTAGACCAAGTGTTTTTAACGTTTCAAATCCCCCCTTTCTGCGTTTTTGAAAGTTGAAAAGATTAAGCCGCTGTGCTTCAATGTACCAGGAGTCTAAAAGTCAAATATTTTTATTTTCCGCTATTTTTCGACTCAAACGTACTGTAGGCTTATTCTCCAAAGCAAGAGCTACATTTTGGTACTATTGACAGCTCTGTACGTCAAAAGATAGCCGAGATACGAAAACTCACTTTGGAACAGCAAAAATTAACTACAAAAAACCCAGAAATTTATAATTGTTATAAAAATTTTTCTAACAATTTTTGATGTAAGAAAACAACTTTTTTTATAGTAATTCGACCACGGCGAACATTTTGAGATATTCGGCGCATTAATAGGACGTATGGTTGAAAAGTTGCTGCTGGGGGGAGGGGGCGGGGGGTAAACTGCACTCTAACCGTTTCTAAAGCCCACCTGTTGTCGATGTGTGTGATTGAGCAATCCACCAAACGGTGATTCAAGCGGGTTTTCGAAAGACAGCAGGGCGAACGTCTTCTCCAGGTCTTCCCGCTGGGATTTACATATTTTTGGTTCTTTTTCATTAACCGGGGGGTGGACTTTTTGCATGAGGCTAAAAATATCGGATAACTTCTTAAACACTGTTTTAATCATGTTTTTAGTAAAATGTAACAATGTTTCAACTAAAAACGCAATCTAAAAACTTTTTAAATATTCAAAACAATGAAATTTTGGTAAAAAATGGCCAATTTTAGTCGAAAAATCGATGCTTTTCGTATTTTTTAATGGCAATTTGTGACGTATACACGTTTAGGAATAGTAACAAAAAAGTAATAAATTTATTTAGAAACATCCGCACTATTTATATTTGAAAAATTAAATCTTGATCAAAAGTTGGTTAAATTTTCGTAAATCGATTTTTCGACAAAAATTGCGAATTTTTGAAAATTTCCAGGTTTTTAGATGGTTTTTCGATGTGCTGGATTTTGTAGCCAGTCGCTGCCAGAGTTTGTGCATTTTCCCACCTGTTGCGGCGTCAGTTGGTCGTCCTTGCCGGCGATGTGCGCCTCGGAGAACATCAGCGCCTCTTCGGTTTTGCTGCAAAAAAATGACAATATTGATAATTTCGAGTGGATAAATCGTTTTAAAAATCGTCTTCAAATACTCACTGATTCCGGATCATTTCGATGAGGCTCTGCTGCAACATCAGAAAATGGACGGCCGGGTGGTCGGCGAGGAGGTTCGGGCAAAGTTGTTCTACCTGGAAAAAAGACATTAAAAATTATGCAATGAACATTAACGACAAACTATTTATTTATTTCAAAGTAATTTAACTTAATACCCATTAAGTTTATTAATTAATCCTATGCAAATTCGAACCTTTACGATGGCCTCTTCGATCCGCCCCTCTTCAATCAGCTCCCTGATCGTCACCCGAGCGTCAAGGTGGTCGATTTCCTCCTGGAAAAGGATCATAAAACCAGGGCAAAAAAGAAGCTATAAAAATAAATGTTTTGCAAAAATCAAAGGCAAAAACTTTTTGTTTCGCCTGAATTCGGTATGGTTGGTTGTCGCAAGCAAATAAAATTTTTCGGTTAGCAGTATAGGAAAAATACGTCATTTAAACGAGGATTTTCTCTCCAAAAAAATCACGCGACCTAACTAAAATAAAAGTAACCAGGGTTGAAAAGCCGCTTCGCGACTTTTCAACCCTGGCCCTGTCTATCCCCATAATATTCTTCTCTCTGCATCCGTCTCGCGAATCCCGATCAGAGAAGATAATGAAAAATGACACCATCTACCTAATTATATAGGCACCAGCCACTTCCGGTGCATGCTAATTGTTTCCTAACAAAGAGGGTGAAAAAAATTTTTACAAAAACTCGAATTTGGTATTTAAAACAATTAATCTTGTAAAATCTGATAAGCGTGCACTCATCCCAGAGCCATTACGCATCTAATGACGTATCATATATACCTTAAAATTCATTCCTGATCGAGATATCCTCCGGACATGGTGACGGAAGTTGCATGCAAAGTATCACACACACACACAAACACTATTTTTGGTAAGAGTTTACTTTACCCCCCCCCCACAGCCGAAGGGTCTCAAAGTTGTCGGTATTTTCGCTTATTTTGTCGGGATTTTCGCAACGCCATTCGATAGAGCGTCGAAAAATATACTAAGAGTTTTAATTTGAGCCTACATTAATGTAAAATAAAAAAGTTATAGCCAAAAACTTCCGGCTGGGGGGGGGGGGGGGGGGTAAAGTAAACCGTAGCCCTATTTTTTTATATATAGTAGGATATTAAACCATACACTACATACATAAGCATTCAAATAAATTGTTTACATACGGCTAGATAGCGGCGCTTTTCGTAGATTCTTTATGTATAAATATAATAATGCTTTAGCTTTCAAAATAAATTGGGGTTGCCATTTAGTCATTACGATTAAAATTGGGCGAAAAACAAAATGTTTTACAAAAAATTAATGCGAAATTTTTCAGTTTCGTTCCTAATGTGTGTTTCTCATTAGTCTCAGGGAAAAATCTCATTTGCCGCGGGTTTTCTAAACGCCCAAGCAGTAATAAAAACAATGTCATAGAAGAAATAAATAGCCGCTCGCTTGGCTTCTGTTTAATGAATGTTCTAGAGTCCGAAAATGCCAAAATCCTTTTGCATAAAAAAATGCGAACTACAGTACAGCTACTTATATGTTTGTGGAAAAATCTATGTTTCATTAAAACTTAATATAAATCCTTCAGTTTCTTCCCTAATCTATGTAATTCGTTAGCAAAAAACCGTCAATTTCGGGAAAACCGCCTTATAAAGCCTATTAAATACCTTTGGCAAATCGATGCCGGTGTCTTGGCAAAGGGCTTCAGCCGCTTCTTTGTAGCCCTCATTGATCAGGAATTCGAGGACGACCTTGATGAAGTCGGGCTGCGTCGGGCCGGAGAACGCCGAGCGGGACGAGCCGGCTGGAAATCAGGGTTTTTAATCCATTCAAAACCGTTTAAATTTCATTAAAAAATTTGCATAAACCTTTAAATCGCACAAAATCAGATACTCTACAGGCAGACTACTCGTTGGCGGGCAGGGCGATGCCGGGCCACCTATTCGACCTGTTCATCCACTTGCTGGGGGCGCTCGTGATTGGCGTCTTCTTTTTGGCGCTCATCAACCAGGTGAGCGCATTAAAAAATCATTACAAAAATTAAACCAAAGTCGTTAAAAAGTCATTATAGCCTTGTAGCTAAATGGCTAAGCTCCTGCTTCCCAGGCACACTACCCGAGTTCGAGCCCCAGCCGATGCGGAGCTTTTTGCTTTTTGGACAAAATTCTCCGAATTGAATGTTTGATGCACTCATCAAGTAAAAACTTAAAGACCGTTAAACTTCTTCTAGATCCAAAAAATGCTGCACCTCGTCTACAGCGGAATGCTGGTGACGCTGCGGTCGCGCCAGGACGAGAAATCGTTTAGTAAGAGCTTACGAAAATTCTAGAGCATTTAAAGTGGCTTAAAAAGGATTTAGTTCCCTCTCTCTATCTCTCTCTCTCTCTCTCTCTCTCTCTCTCTCTCTCTAACACTCTCCCTTTCTTTTTTTAGCTGTCCCTCGTAAAAGCGACGGTCTTCTCCCGTGTATCGACCATGACTGCCCGACGATGCGTGTCGTCTTCAGATACTTCGACCAGAGGGCAACAAGGGTGATTTCAACTATCCTAAAGGGACCGTGACACCGTGCAGGTGTTCGTCACCGGCTCGTTCGTCAACTGGGAGCTGTTGCTGCTGCTCGAGCGCGACGAGGCCGGCCAATTCTGGCGTCTCGAGTACCAGTTGCCCTATGGACATCATCGGTATCGAATTTGATTGGATTAAAGGGACTGAGAAGATACGAAAAATGGCGCTTTTCGATTATCGGGGGAGAGGTATTTATTAGTGAAATCCAAGTCTTCCTCAAAAATAGCGACGTGTTCTAAACTGTTTTTGTTTAAAATTTTGACTTAAAACGTTACGATTGAAATTGACTGAAAAATACAAAAATATCGATTTTTGACCAATGTTCATAATTCTCAGTTTTTTTAGAGAGTTTCCCCACTTTAAATAATTTTACGAAGTAAAAATTTCTAAATTTTACGAAGCAGGCTTGAAGGTTCATACTACACCCACTATTACGTTTATAGGAATTTCTGGACCTACAGAAAAAATCCGAAACAATTTTTTTGTTTCTAATCCTATTTCGTGGCCTCTCAAAATGTTTGAAAAGAGCTTTAAAAATGACAGAACCATTGAATAGATCGTTAACGAGCAGAAAAGGAAAAAATCCGAAAATCTCTAGGTATCGCTTCGTGGTGGACGGTAAATGGGCGATCAACCACGAGCACCCGTTTTGGTCGGACGAGAATGGTGAGGGGATTATTTAGAGAAGAAACATCTTTTTTCTCTCTAGGTATCCTGCACAACGTGGTCCACGTCCGCCCACCAAATATACTCGCCCGCGGGCTCTTGTGAAAAGCGACTCCCTCCAAACAACACCCGTACTAACTATCACCGGCTTACTGTCTTTGTTTTTATTTGATTCGACAAACATCTACCATCACATTTGTACCCCCTGTTCACCCGTGAATAAAGCGATTTTTTGGAGTAAATTCTACGGAAAAATCGTATTTTAGGGTGCTTTCGCATTATCGGGGGAGGCATTTTTCCTTTAGGATCCAACGTTTTTAATATGAAAAGAGGAACTGGCTCTAAACTGTTTTTTGTGATTTCTAAATGTAAGAAATGCGCAAGGTTTAGAACTGCAAAAAATATCGATTTTTCGACAAAAAAAATTGAAAATTTCGAAGGTTTTAAAACAGTTTTCCACTTGAAATCTAGTAAAATTTTGCTAAAACACTTCTTATTAAGTTACAAGGCATTTCTGGACCTACTAGGTAAAAATTATTATTTGTGTCGAAAATGCCAAAAATAGGTCGAAAACGGCCAAAAACGGTGTCTCGCTATTTTCAACGGTACCTTAAAAACTTGTAGTTAACGGAACCTATTGCAAACTGTAAAATAAGCTATTTTTAAATATCTTTCAAAAATAAAAACAAAAATTCAATAAATAATACGGTTATATCAGAAATTTCCGAAAATTAACACCACCTTTTTTTTAATTTCTGCCGAAACATTTGAAACTAAAAAAATCTTAAAAACCCACGATGCTGCCTGCCAACCGTCTCCTCGTCGTCATCATCATCTGAGGACAAATTCTTATCCGGAAGAATTATGTCCGGATTGAACGTCTGTGTAAACGGGGCCGTCCCATCGTAAAGTGCCTCCTCGTCGCTGGCATCACTAAAAATATATGTCTATTTTCATGCTTTTCAATCGACCTTTCGACAGCCATATCCACGTCGTCGTCGGGCTCTCCTTGCGGGTACTGAACATTGATTGTTGTTAGAATTTGCTGCGTTTAGCCCATTTTGAAAACAATTACAATTCAAAAGTTCCAACGGAAGAATATTATTTGTTTCTGGAAGTGAATTTGGGTAGTCGCGGAGTGAAACATTGTTTGTTAGAATCTGCTGAATTAGGCCGTTTTCGAAAATCATTCTATCAATGTTAAATCATCCATTAAGGGCTAAAAATATTATACCGGGTCTTGCCTTGAACTTTCAACGTTATCCTACTATATATAAAAAAAATAGTGTCTGTGTGTGTGTGTGTATATTTGCATGCAACTTCCGTAAGTATGTACCGCACCTACAGCCTCAAGGGGACGTTTTTAAGGTACGTATGATATGTCATTAGGTGCGTAAGGATCCCGAGATGAGTGCACCCATATAAGATTTAGGAAAATCGGCTGTTTTCGCTATTAAAAATAAGTTTTTGTAAAGATTTCGAAAAATCTCTTTGTTAGGAGGCAATTTGCATGCGCCGGAAGTAGGGAGGGCCTATATAAAGGGACAGAGGAGCTGCTTTCACTTTTTTCTGGCTAGAATTTAGGGAGAAGCATGCAAATTGAGGACTTTCGCAGGTCCTGGACGGGGCCAGGGTTGAAAAGCCGCGAAGCGGTTTTTCAACCCTGGTTATAAACTAAAAATCTAACTTTTAAAGTTTTCTGGCGTCCAAGTTATTTCGAAAACAGTTATTCCTGCGCGAGGTCCCTGCCTTCGAGCAAAAAAAATTTTTTTTGAGTAAAAACAACCGTTTAAAAGTTTGTAAAGTAAATAAGAAGCTTTCCAAACTATTATACCAGTTAGACAGTTAAAATAATTAACAAACCTACGAAAATCAGGTTAAAAAACCCACTTTAGTAACCGGTTGAACCATAAAAAACTGTTTATTTACGCGCATAACCCTTCAAATACAACAAACTATGCTCAAAAAAGATGTGTTTCAGACTCTTACGCACTTTTCTAGGCCAAAAAGCTACCCCACAGTTTCGAAAATATTTACGAAACACTGTTTCGGCTTAAAACCTACATTATGCTCCATCATCTCGGCTGAGGAGGTCGTTCTGGAGCGCGGCAAATCGTGTGGCACCGCAAACCCGCCGCTCATCACCCGGAAGCCAAGTTTTTGAAGCTTTTTGCGGGCGGCTTCAGATCAGCTGTGCTGTGCAAACGCTCATATGGGGGGTGGTCGGGTGGTGGATGCAGATGGGGCACATGGTAGAGCGTGCAAAGGACTGGCGTGTAGCTCGGGGAAAGGCATGCATGGAAAGATAGAAGAAAGAAGGAAACAAACAAAAATGAGATGGTTTTTCGAATGATTGGTATTGGAAAGACGACTTCCAGCCATAATCCCGACAACCATAATGCCGACAGCTGAATTTCGACAGCGTAATCCCGACAGCTGAAACGAGACTCGCATAATCCCGACAGCCTAAATTCCGACAGCCATAATTCCCACAACCATAATCCCGACAACTAGAATCCCGACAACTAGAATCCCGACAACTAGGATCCCGACAACTAGAATCCCGGCAGGAGCGATCCTGAGCCATAATCCTGAGAAATGGAACTCGATAACGAAAATCCTGACAGTCATAATCCCGAAAGTCATAATACCGACAGCCAAAATCCGGGTCCCCGCAATCCTGACAGGATAAAATCCCGACAATCATCATACAGACAGTAAAATGCCAACAACCAGAATCCCGACAACGAAAATCGCGACATTAGTTTTAGTTAGTTTGACTGTCCCTTCCTTTTAAACTGCTCTATTGGCCTGTCGAGACTTTGGCCTGTCGGGCTTTCGGCTGTCGGCATTTTTTCGCGTTTGTCCTGGAAGATCTTTTCCCTTCAAACAAAAACAAAGTAAAATAGCAGAAAAATCCAGACAAACAGAAGAAAGTAAAGAAACGAAAAGGTAATTCAAATACTTTATCGTCCAATAGCGTTTATCGCATAATAAAATCATGAAGCGGTGAACTGTAACGTTATTCTGCTTGGTTTCGGGTTTTTGATGGCGCAGCTTGAGGGGCTTCTAATCGGCCGGTTGATCGGGTACAGCTTCCGGTTGTTGGTCGTCTACTGGGGGCTCGGCAGGGTTCTAAAAAAAGGTTTTGTTTTGGCTTCTCTTGCCCTCCCTCTGTCTCACTCTCCCTCGCACTCTCCCTCTCCCTCTCTCTCACTCGCTCTCTCTCTTTTCTCTGTCTCTCTCGGCTCTCTGTCTCTCTCGGCTCTCTGTCTCTCTCGGCTCTCTCTCTCTCTCTCTCTCTCTCTCTTCCACCTCGACGTCTTCTACCGCCGGCTGTACCGGCACAGGTTCAGCGTCAGCGACAGGTTCAGCTACACCCTCAGCCATCTGTACAGCTCCGGCCTGCGTGACTTCAGGCAGGGCAGCTTCAGGCTCGCGTTCGACTTCAACCGTCAATCCAGACGGTCGATATTTCCAGGGCGCGTACACACAGGCGGAGATGACCATCATCAGGACGAAGGACATCACGATGAGGGCGTGTATCCAGAAGACCGTCCAGGGGATTCTAAAGGGTATTCGGCAAGTGAGCGGTGTTGTCCTCTTAAATCCCAAAAATTTCGAAATGGCCGTGCCCCCTCCCCCCCGCTAACACACCAGTACCGGAGGCTTTTTACCTATAGTCCATATCGTGTTTAGCGCTTCCGTCAACATCAACGATAGTGATGTTAGTGGTTGTGGTGGTAGTAGTGGTCGTTGTTGTCGTACTCGTCGAAGTCGTTGTGCTGGTAGAAGTCGTTGTAGTCGGTGTAGTTGTACTGGTAGAAGCTGTTGTACTTGTAGAGGCCGTCGTAGGGGTGGTAGTGGTCGTCGTCGTGGGACTGGTGGTAGTTGTAGTAGTACTCGTCGTTGTGGTAGGAGGCTAAAATGGTTCTTCATCGACACGAGTGCGTCGCCTACCAGAGTCGTAGTTGGCGGCATAGTTGTCGTGTTCATGGTGGTGGTAGTGGTGGGGGTCTAAAAACATGTTCAAGCAGTTCAACGCAACTACTGTCGACGATGGGGTCGTTGTTGTTGTGGTCGTCGTCGCCGTCGTCGTCGTCGTGGTAGTGGTAGTCTGAAGCTTGAGTCCCTTGAACTGCTCGAAGATGTTGATGCTACAGTTGTGGTAGTAGTTGTAGTAGTGGTGGTCGTAGTTGTAGTCGTGGTAGTAGTAGTAGTAGTTGTCGTCGTCGTCGAGGTCGTCGACGTTGTCGGCGGCTGAAATGAACCGGGCATCATCATCAAGACGTACAGTTCTGCCACATACCTTCGGGAACGCAGCGGTACGATTCAGATGAGCTCTCGATCCACATCTACGGCCGCCCTCCTCAATAGGTATCCACGTTCGGCGTTTGAATTCTGCTTCGGTGCTCGGATCCACTAAAGTGAAGCTGGAGAGAGAGAGAGAGAGAGAGAGAGAGAGAGAGAGTGGGAGAGCGAGAGAGAGGGAGAGAGAGGGAAAGAGAGGTTGAGAGAGAGAATGAGTGAGGGAATGAATGAGAGAGAACGAGAGCGAGATAGGGAGAGAGAGATGGAGGGAGAGTGAGAGAGAGTGAGAGACAGAGATAGGTTGAGAGAGAGAATGAGTGAGAGAATGAATGAGAGAGAGAGAGAAAGAGAGAGAGAGAGAGTGAGAGAGAGGAGAGAGAGAAAGAGAGAGTGAGAGAGAGAGAGAAGAGAGAGAGAGAGAGTGAGAGAGACCCTACTTTTATCATCAACCGTCGTCGTCCCATCACAGACACAATTCTCCCTCGGATGTTGCCGCACCCCCGGATTGTAACATCCGGCCACCACCGCTCCTGGAGCGCCCCCATCCCTCGTACGATCCGTGCAGAAGACCTGACCCTTGTCGGGGCACACTAGAAATCAAAAATACGAGGTTTCGAGCTCGAAAATACTGTAGACAATCTTGAGATCATCGATGTACTCGTAGAAGGCGACGGCCGTCTCGCTGTACGGCGCTTCGGTAATTTCCTTGCAGCCGTCTTTCGGGCTATAGTATGGGGTTGTCACGTCGCAGAGGACAATCTGTAATTTGAGTGTAAGTTGAAGCTCAGGTTCAAGCCGCCCACCTTCGGCCTCAGAACGCCCAGCTCCCAGGCGCGAATTATTGGTCTCGTCAAGCATTGCCTCGATTTGGGGTCCGACGGGTCCGTTGTCTGAAAATGTACTGAAACAATAATATAATCGAAGAATATAGATTCAACCGAAATTTCTTAATTTGTTTCAAAAGAAAGTTTTTTCTAAAAATTAATTTTTATTTTATTTATTTTTGTTTGATTTTATTTGAAACATTTTGATTTTTCAGGATTTTTTGGATAGCTTTTTCACTTTCATGTAGTTAAATTTCACTAGAAGTACTATTAAACACGATTATTCCGCTGCTAGGCATTTTCTGGGATTATGAAAAATGCCCCCCCCCCCCCGATAAGAAACTAGACCCTTATCTTACCTTCATATAACTCGAGTAGAGATCTTGGAGGTGTAGACTGGCCTCCAGATCGAGAATTGGGGCCGCGGTATCGTTGAGGCGTTCTGCAAAGTGGCGAAAGTTAAGAGATACCGCTCCCCCCGCTAAGAGATAAGAACCCAAATTTGCGGAGGAGCAGGCTCCCAGAAGGTACAGCGGGTAAGTCAGGTATCTGAATTTTCGCCCCGTCATCCCACCACAATGGCACATCGTCGGATCCCATCGTGTATTAGAGTAGCAGCCGACCGGCTTGTGCTCGCTCGCCTGGTAGAAGTTGCGGCAGAAGACTTGGCGCTCTTGGCAACCTAGGCGGAAAAGGAGCTGTAGGAAAGCACTTCCTGCTTCAACTTACCATAATGATACCACAGCTCCTCGGTATCGGTGGGCTGTCCCGGGGTGACGATCGTCAAGAAGAGACCCGGGTCTTCGACTCCAATCCCGAAAGGAGCACGAGCCAGCGAAATACAATGATCGTTTTCGTTGTCGAACGGGCGGCTCAGCACCGAACAGGCAGAATGACGGATTGGTTGGAGTTGCGCCGGAGCTGCGAGTTCTGAAGTGACGGCTATGCGATTAATTTACACGGAGAGAGCGATAAAGAGAGAGTGAGTGAAAGTGAGAGAGAGAGTGAGAGTGAGCGAGAGAGAGAGAAAGAGAGGGAGAGAGAGCGAAAGAGAGAGAGAGTGAGAGAGTGTGAGAGTGAGAGAGAGTGAGAGAGAGTGAGTGAGTGTGAGTGTGAGAGAGTGTGTGAGAGCCGGAGAGAGAGGGACAGAGAGAGAGAGAGAGGCAGAGGGAGAGAGGGAGAGAGAGAGCACTACCTGCCGTTCTGCCCAACTGTAGGCAGTAGATGAGCAACAGGGTAATCACCCTGACGGGCCACCACATCAGCCCCGGCAAGTTCAATGACTTATCAAGACTTTGAGACAAGAACACAATATTCAAATTCGTGAATTCAAATGGCGGCAGTGTCGGCAATCCACTTGACCCCCAGAGCTTCAACTTTTCAGCCATGTCTTATTAATGCGTGGAGTATCTCAAAATATTCGCCGTAGTCGAAATATATAAAATCATTGTTTTCTTACATCAAAAATTGTTAGAAAATTTTTTATAAACATTATAAGTCTGGATTTCCTTTAGTTAAATTTCCTATTCCAAAGTGGTTTTTCGTATCTCGGCTATCTTTTGTCGTACAGAGCTGTCAATGGTACGAAAATGTAGCTCTTGCTCTGTAGAATAAGCCCACAATACGTTTGAGACGAAAAAAACGAAAAATAAAAATATTGAGTGAGGACAAAAACACATCGGATAAACTGAAGCCTAGCGATATTCAGGTATCGCCAACACATTCAAGATGCTTTATTAACTGACATGCCGACACCACGAAGGGAAATCAAATAAACCTCGATTGCCCGGGGAGGGGAATAGGTGAGAGTGCAGGGAATAAGAGGGGGGCAGAGAGGGAGAGAGAGGATAAGACTGGCCAAGCACAAACGCGGAAACGAGAGAAAGAGAAAACGACGAGAGAACGAGGTTGAGCAAGAGATCCAGAGAAAAAGAGATCGTGAAGGCTTTATCCAAGTTTGTTCAGCATCTCGCGGCCCTCGGCAATTTGCTCCTCGTCGGTCGCGTCGATCGCCTCCAGGTTGACCAGCTGAAAGGGGAAGTTAGCTTCGGTGGTTCTAGTCTGTTAGCGGGGGGGGTAATGTCTAACAAGGAAATTACGCCTAAGCAAGCCTAACCAAGAGTAAGCCAAGGTTACGGGTAAGCCTAATCCTAAGCCAAGCTTAAGCCTATACCGAAGCTAAGCTAAGTCAAGCCAAAGGCAAAGCCTACCTAAGCGAAGCTTAAGCATATGCCTGATCCTAAGCATAAGCCTACGCCAAGCCTAAGCTAAGCCAAGCCTAAGCCAAGCCTAAGCCAAGCCTAAGCCAAGCCTAAGCCAAGCCTAAGCCAAGCCTAAGCCAAGCCTAAGCCAAGCCTAAGCCCAGCCTAAGCCAAGCCTAAGACAAGCCTAAGACAAGCCTAAGCCCAATCTAAGTCACATAGAAGCTAAGCTTAAGCCCTAAGCCTCGTAGAAGCCGAGCCAAAGCCGAAGTCAAGCCAAGCCGAAGGCTAAGTCGAAGTCTAAGCCTAAACCTAAGCCCGGCTCAAAGGATCAGATACCGACCGTCTCGAGGTAGTTGCGAGCCTCGCCCTTGTCCTTCTTCCCCAAATAGCACTTGGCAATGTACAGCAGATTGTCGATGGCCAACGGCACTTTCCGGTGGGCATTCAACAGATCAACCAGCGCCAGATCGTAGCTCGCTTCCGGCAACTTCACGAACAGCACCGAGGCCGCCTTCCTGAAGAAGATGATGGTCATCTGCCAGTCGAAACCCACTTCTCGAGCCAGGACAACTCGGACAAGTGGAAGAGGAACCGGCCGCGCATGTGGAGCAGCGAAAAGTCGTCGGGTGCTTGGGCCAGGGCAGCGTCGAGGTACACCTGAAAAGTTGACGACATGTTCGAGCAGTTCAACAAGAACTAGCAAGTTCGGCACCAAATCTTTTCCTATACCAACTTTTGCTTTTTTTTGTGAAATTGAGCTAGCTTTGAAGCAGGGAACTGTAAGAAAGCTGATAAAATGTCAGAAAAATTCAAAATTTTGCTCATTTTAGCTCAAAAAAAGTCCTTTTTTACTAAAAAAGACGGTTTTTACTAAAATTTGTAACGTTTATCCAAAGGAAATTCGAAAAATCTTTAAAAACAGAATAAATATTGACATAAAGCCGAGGAAAACGACCTTGAACTGGTAGCCAAGACGGGCGCGATCACCGACAGAGCTCGCCTCAGCCAGTGTACCCGTCAGCACAGCACACTGCGTCAACACGGCCAGATGCGTCTTGTCCAGGTTGTGCGCCTTCTCCACGGCGGCCAGGCCTTAAAAATGATGGGATTTATCAGCGGTTCTTTAGGAAAATACGCGACTAAACTTTTTACCACCCCCCGGTAACAGTCCAGTACCAAAAAAACGCCATGATCGCGTACCCTTCTTGAGCAACTGCTGGCGTTCCTTGGCGGTGCCGCTGCTCATCTGATTGTAGACGATATAGTTGGCCTGGGCGAATCGATGGGCGAACTCGGCCCATGACTGCTCGCCGACGCGCTCCTCCAGCCCCTCCAACACCGACAGCGCCTTCTCGCCCTCGTAGTCCTCGAGCAGTCGGTCCACCTCCGTCATCTAAAACACAAAAAAAATCGTATTTTACATATTTAGCACGCTAGAATTTTCCGAAATTTAGTAAATGCCAAAATATCGATTTTTCGATCAAAATCTCGAAATTAGAACGGTAAGACTCTAGTTTACCCCCCCCCCAGACGCCCCTTTTCTCTGCGCCCTCTCCCCCAGGCCTACTATCTCTTCGCCTGCGCCCTCTCCCCCAGGCCTACTATCTCGCCTGGGGGGGTAAACTAGAGTTTAGCCATTAGAACTTTTAAAAATTGTAAGCACGTTTTTGGACCTCAATAGAGATAAATTCACGTAAAACAATATTAGGATACTTTCCATTTAGTTACTAGGTATTTCTAGACCTTTAGAGAAAATTAGCTCCCCCCCCCCGATAATGCAAAAGAACCTAATTTGCATACGAGGGTACGGTAAGATACCTCATTCTCGAAGTCCTTGCACTCGAGGGCCATCGCGGATGAGGAGATGCCGACCCGCACACAATGACAGACACAATAAAATCTAGATTTTTCCAAGAATAAACGAGTGTCGCCTTCCGTTTCCGGTTCCAGATTCCGTATGCAAATTTTGCATGCAAATCAGGTAGAACTTGCGATTTTTTTGCCGCTTCCTTGCTCTAAAGTTTAGAGTCTAAATTGTAGCGTCTTCAGGTCTCTCGGGGTAGCCCAAAAATTTTCATAGAAATCTCGGTTTTGGGAAAATCTTTTAGCTATGGATTTTTGAGGTCCAAATTTGAATGTTTCACCTTTTTTGAAAACCTTGCTACGCCGAAAGCAGCAGTAAACTTTACCCACAACAATAGAAAAATACGTGATACCAGCGCTGACCCCCCGCTACGCGGGGATTCAGCGCTGGTCTTCCCCCACAATTTGAATGCATGATTTGACTGAATTCCTGGACGGACAGACGGACATTAGAAATTTATATATAGTAGATTCGAGCACATATTTCGGTTTTAAAAATTCAAATTGCGGATTTTTTGGGCTTAAATGCAGTTTATCCCCCCCCCAGCCGACCCCACCTACCGTATCTCGGCTCCCTGTTCATCTACAGGCGTGTAAAGTATACCAAAATACTCGCCAGAGCAAGACGAACATTTTGGTATACTTTTCACATCTGTAGATGAACAGGGAGCCGAGATACAAAAGTTGGGTGCCGGCTGGGGGTAAACTGCACTCTAACCATTTTTTGTAAGGCGTTACATCTTTTTTTGGATACAATATCAGGTACACTGTCTGTATTTTGTAGACGGTAACTTTATTAACAGACGCAGTCCAGGTATCTAGTCCTCATGTGACCCGTCGGGTAGGGAATCGTTGGGTGGGCAGGTATCTGCCCGCATACAATCCCCTTCATCCTCATGAGAAAGCCGCGCAAATCCATCGTCACATTGGCACCGCCAACGTGGTTTCATCGCGCACCCCTGAAAGCGTATATTTGATTTTAATCTTAACGTAAAAATTAGTTTTGAACTTTTGGTCGATCTCTATTTTCGTGGAATCTTCTTCATTTCTTTATCAGTGCTTATAGCCATGTAGCCATACTTAAGCGAAAATAAAGAAATAGAAAAATGTTAAGACATTTTAAATTTTGCTCAGAAATCGGCCATTTTGGCCGAAAAATCGCTTCTGATTTTTTTAGAAAAAGTTGTGCGAGGTTTACTAAATAACTGTTGAAACACTTGCTTTCTTTGTATTAAAAAAGATCCTAACGATAAAAAGCCCCCCATAAACAGTAGTTTTCCAAGCAAGACCTACAACTGGTTTGGCGGCTCCGGGTCCCCTGACCGCACAGGTATCACAGCCGACCTCAAACTCCCACGACGAGTGCTTTGGGCAGCCCTAATTAACAGATAAATTCCTTGAAAATGAGCCATTTACAAACCAATGGCAGCTTCCCGATCGCACAGCCAAGCAGGGCGAGCGCTGGAAAAAGGATGTTTTTGCTCAAACCGATAGCCCACCAAGGATGAAGACAAGATTCCGCATTGCTTGCTGTCCGTTTTAGCTCTACTGCGGAGTTTCGGCCAGCGCAACATACCAAATTCAAGAAAAATCCGCCCCTATTTTACAAGGCTTCAGACGGCAAAAGCTCTGATTTATTCCGCATGAATAAAACCGTGCAGCTTGTATAAAAAAATCAGCTGCTTGCCAAATCTCCATATCTTGGCGAATCGGAACAACTTTTACAGCATTGCACCTTCTGAAATACCGAGAAATCCAAAAAATCCAGACCAGAATGGATCGCTTTTTCGATCAAAAATTAGCGTTCCCGACAAAATTTCGACTTTTAGAAATTCTTTGTAAAATTAGTTAAATTTCACAAAACACTTTATGAAATTTTTTTGAGATCTTTTCCAATTAAAATACCCATAAAAAATCCCATCCAAATAATTGGATAACGTTCATAGGGTTTTCTCGGCTTCTGCAAAAAAATTGTACCCTCCCCCCCGATATTGCAAAAGAACCGGCGACCGTGCCAACCCAACGTCGTGGAAAAAACTGAAAAACCGTTGAATGGTGTCAAATTTGCATAAAAATCCAGGTGCTTGCATAAGATGTCGAAAATTCGAATATCCGCTACACGGAAAAAAACCACATTTGCATGGGTTTCCGGCTAGAAAAGGGGTGCTTTGGAGGGTGGGGGATAACTCGTCATCCCCCCGACAACCATGGCGTGGATATTGGCCAGCACGACGGGGACCATCGGACTCGTCTATCTGGGCACCGGATGTGGCGGTAAAAAGGTACGTTTCACCAGCTCTCTCGTGCTCACGCTCTTGCTCACGCTCGGGCTCACACTCGCCCCGTCTGGGATCAAAAAATTAGCATCTGAGCTGGCGACTTTGACGTCCTTCTTCAGAAAGAAGAAGCCGAGAGCTCGGGCGCAACTGGCTCTGGCGCGACCGCCTCTCCGGCTGCCGGCGGTGGTGCTGCTCCTGGAGGCGGTGCTCCTCCCCCTGCTCCTGGCGGCGGCGGTGGTGGCGGTGCTACTCCTACGGCTGGAGGAGGAGCCCCGGGCGGAGGCGGAGGTGGCGCTCCGGCCCCTGCCAACCCGAACGGACCGAAGGCGCCGGCTGCTGGAGGGATCGCTGGTGGGTGATCTAATCAAGTTAAAAGCTTAAGCTAAGCCTAAACCCAAGCCTTAGCTTCAACCAACTGAACTTGCCCAAGTTGAGGCCTAAGACCGCGAATCTTAAAAAAGTTTAAATCCTCACGGTTTCCAGGCACCCACGATCCAAACTACCAAACCCTTGCCGGCATCGGTGGCGACTGCTTCGGAGGCGACAAGAAACCTGCTGGAGGCGGTGGCGGCGGCGGAGGCGGCGGAGGAGGAGGCGGCGGCGGTGGAGGCGCTGGCCCGAAGGCCCCTGCGGCTGGAGGAATCGCTGGTAGATGATCACCGGCGAGCCACCTAAATTCAATTTAGGAACCCACGACCCCAACTACCAAACCCTTGCTGGAGTCGGTGGCGACTGCTTCGGTGCTGACAAGAAGGCGGCTGGAGGCGGTGGCGGTGGCGGAGGCGGAGGCGGCGGTGGCGGCGCTGGTCCGAAGGCTCCGGCGGCTGGAGGAGTGGCTGGTAGATGATCACTGGCTGACCTCAGATATCTATCGCGTTTTTAGGCACTCATGACCCGAACTACCAAACCCTTGCCGGAGTCGGCGGCGACTGCTTTGGCGCCGACAAGAAGGGCGCGGGCGGAGGCGGCGGTGGAGGTGGTGGCGCTGGACCGAAGGCCCCGGCTGCTGGAGGAGTCGCTGGTAGATGATCATGGCTGAGCGATCTAACTGTGAATTTAGGCACCCACGACCCCAACTACCAAACCCTTGCTGGTGTCGGTGGCGACTGCTTCGGAGCGGACAAGAAGAAGGAGGGCGGCGGCGGCGGCGGCGGAGGGGGCGGAGCAGGCCCGAAGCCAGGAGCTGGCGGCGTTGCTGGTAGATGATTACGGATCAACGACTATCCGCCTTTAAGCCACCCACGACCCGAACTACCAGACCCTTGCCGGTGTCGGCGGCGACTGCTTTGGCGCCGACAAGAAGAAGGAAGGAGGCGGAGGCGGAGGAGGGGGTGGAGGCGGAGGCCCCAAAGCTCCCGAGGACAAGGGCGCCAAGGCCGCCACTGCCGATCCCAACTACCAAACACTTGCTGGAGTCGGCGGCGACTGCTTCGGAGCTGATAAGAAGGGAGCTGGAGGTGGCGGAGGAGGTGGAGGTGGCCCGAAGGCACCTGCCGACAAGGGCGCCAAGGCTGCGACGGCCGACCCGAACTACCAGACACTCGCTGGCGTCGGTGGCGACTGCTTCGGGGCGGACAAGAAGGGCGGAGGTGGAGGAGCGGCCAAGGGGCCCGTCGCCCCGGCCAACAAGGGCGCCAAGGCTGGTGGGACATTTTTGGCAGCTTATAAAAATATAAAGATTAAAATGGATTAAAACAAAAACTGATAAAAATTACTTTAATAAGATCGAAAGTCAAAAAAATATGTAAATGATCAAAATTAACAATTAAGTATAGCTTTAATATTGTTTTAATTTTTTATGAAAGCTTCTATATAATTCGTTAACGCTAATAAAAGTTTTTCGTAGAAAATCAAAATTACGGTACTGCACTGTTAGCGGGGGGCTTATTTTGATTATTCGCCTTTGATTTTTTTATTTTTTAGTCAAAAAAGACCGTTGTTCTTCATTTTTGAGTTTTCCAAAGTTTTAAGTGCGTTTTTACTTTTAATTCAAAAAGAGTAAAATTTAAACCTCAATTAAAATTGCGAAACACAAAAATTTTCGATAATTTTTATAATTGTTTTAGATGCTATTTAACTGAAAGCATCTTTAAATGCTAAAAAAATTGTTTATTTTTGTGAAAGCGCCGTATAGAATAATTGGGAAAAACGTTTTTGCTTCTAAAAAAAGTTTAGATAAGAAATTAAATTAAATTAAAGCAGTTAAAAATCATTTTTAAATTCTGCAAATCGATTAAATCAAAAATAAAAATAAAAATCCATAAAAGATTGTTTTTGCAGCCACCGCCGACCCGAACTACCAGACGTTGGCCGGCGTGGGCGGCGACTGTTTCGGAGCCGACAAGAAGAAGAAGTAGTAGCAGAACAACGTGGCCGTCTCGCCCAGCTGCCCTTCCCCATCAATACCATCACCACCATCCTCAATATCACCCGTCACTTGTTGTGTGCCTCCTTTAACACTGCTGATTAGATCCTTTCGTCTCCTATTCATGTATTCATTTTCTCGGCCGCTCTATGAATAAACGCTGAATTGGCTGCAGAATATAACTACAGTATTTCCCAAAAAAATAGTTTTATTAAAATGACTATGAACATTAAAGTGTTTCTTAATTTAATAAAGCTTACCCTTTGGTTGAACCGGAAATGGGCCGTTTTCGAGATTCTTTTGGTCATCTCCTATCAGATTGGGCCAAATTTTTTACCAGCGATGGGAGCCCATAAAAACTATTTGCACCCAAAATTTCAAACCAAAATATTGTAAAACAAAAAAGTTATGGCAAAAACAGATCCTACTATATATAAAAAAATAGTGTCTGTGTGTGTGTGTGTCTGTGTGTGCCACTTTGCATCCACTTCCGGATGTCTGTCCGGAGGATATCTCGATAGGGGATGAATTTTATGGTATGTATGATACGTCATTAGATGCGTAATGGCCAGGAGATGACTGCACGCATATCAGGTTTAACAAAATCACCTATTTTCGACATTAAATTTAAGTTTTTGTGAAAACCTCTTTGTTAGGAACAACTAGCGTAGACCGGAAGTGGGGATTCGACTATATAAAGGGGTTGAACAGGTAGTTTTTCATTTTTTGTTATCTGAATTCAGGAAAATTATGCAAAGTGAAGGATAAAATGGGGTCAGACGGGGCCAGGGTTGAAAAGTCGCGAAGCGGCTTTTCAACCCTGGTTTTTCTGAAAATTCTGCGGCACGTTTTCGGCTCTGTAACATGGCAAGTAGAGTACGGATTTTGGGTAATTTGCGGAAAAGTAGTCGTTTTCCGACCG